GAGTTTCTTTTGATGTGTCTCGTACATTACATAAATAGGCTTCACATTTCTTGCGGATGAGGCGCCTAGCATGTATATACGAGATGAATTCAGTAGGTTTGGGTGTCAGCTTTTCTTTCACTTCAATGGTCTTTCCATCATTGTTTTTCAGTTGTATCACCCGTTGTCGGCAATCGATAACAGCTTGATGTTCAGTAAGGCAATCCATACCAAGGATGACATCGAATTCCTTGTACGGTAATTCAACAAGATTTGCAAGGAGTTGTTGTCCTTCGACAATCAGCGGACAATCTTGGTATACATGATGTAACCTCATACTATGTCCTAGTGGGTTAGATACTAGTATAGGGTGTTCTAAGTTTTCTTTCAATATGTCAGCTTTGTCAGGCATAGGTACACAGATGTAAGATAATGTTGATCCAGGATCTATCAACACATGCATGGTTGTATCGAATAATGAGAACATACCCTGGATGACATCAGGGTTCTCTTCAGTACGTCCTTTCATTGCATAGGTGCGGGCAGGCGCTCGTCCTTGCTGTTGATTTTGATTTTTAGCAGGATTAGATCCTGCTGTAGAGCGTTGACTTGGAGCGGGACGTGCCGATGCTGCGTGACTGGCGACAGGAGCAGGTGGAAATGGCTCTCCAGGATTTGTGGGACAGTTCTTTCGGAAATGCCCCGGCTTTCCACAACCGAGACATAGTCCTTGAGCAAGCCAACATTCCTCAGGATGGTGTCTCCCACACATTTTACACGCTGGGTTTTTCCATCCCTTTGACCTGTTTCCAGATGCCACTGATTGGGTTTGTACAGATTTCCCCTTCTTGGAGAAGTGTGAGCTGCTGGGTCCTTGAAATGGTCTTTTTCCACTCGAGACAGAATTTGTAGGTCGACGTTCACTTGTGCTAGCACCTTCTTTCTTCAAGTACTCCTTACAAGAATTCAGATCCTTGTCTGCTTTAGCAATCAGATCATAGGCTTCCGTGAAGTCTACCGTTGGTATGACAGATACTTGAGCCCTGAGATCAGGTCGGAGTTTTGATCTGAACTCTACAATACGGTCAGTTGTGGTGCTTACCAACGTTGGTGCAAATTTGGCAAGACTGACAAACTTTTGGCGATATTCGGGAAGCATCATCTCCCCTTCTTGCAACTCAACAAATTCGGTACGTTTCGCTTCACGGAAACGTGCTGGGATATACTCTTTCTTGAATGCCCAATCGAAGAACTCCCACGTCCATGGCTTCGGGGTTTCGTTACTTTCATCGGTGCGTTTCCACCATTCGTAGGCTTCCCCACGAAGTAATTGTGATGCGAGTCTCGGGTGGTCGTTAAGCGGTACGTTCAGATCTCTCAACACTCGGGCAGTCTGTTCAATCCAATTCCAAGCAATTTGAGGTTCGGCGATTCGATCGCCCAGAAACTCTTCTGCTCC